CTAATTAGCATGCCCAATTAAAATTAAACTCTTTATCCTAACACAGGGGTTCCCCGTTTTGCTGTAGATGATTGATTGATAAATAAAACACTGATTGGCCAGTAGCCAGGCAGGAAGTATAGGCGGGACTAGCAGAGAGGAGAATTGAGAGAACAGGAAGGCGGAGAGGAGGAGACACCGGCCTGCCGTCCAGGAAACCTCATGTAAAGGCAGCAGGTAAAGCCACGGAGCATGTGGCGACATATAGATTAACAGAAATGGGCTGAGTATAAGAGTAAGAGCTAGACAGTGGTAGGCCTGAGCTAATGGCTGAGCAGTTTAAATAATATAAGCGTCTGTATGTTTATTTTATAAGTGGGCTACGGGACTGTCGGGGTTTGGCGGAACCCGGAGAGAAAAACTCTAGCTACACTGTTTTACCTTTATAAACCATTTGCCTGTGGGCCACATCTGTCTCCTCTATCCAGAGGTAGTCCCGTGTCCCCACCTCTGGGACAAACACTCCTTCCCCTCTCCCTTGTTTTTTTCTGCCTTCTCCTTCATCTCTGTCACCTGTCTTTGCCTCTTATTCCCTGCCCTCTGTCCCTCTGGGGCAAATAAATCTCCTTTGTGCTGAGAACTTGGTCTTGGGGGTCCTGAGCTGAAAGGTTCCCTTCAGTTTGCCCCACCCATTGGACCACAGCTGCTGTGCCAACCGTATGTCTTCCTGGCTGGCCCTGGAAAAACACTTTACTAGGGGACCATTTTGGAGGAGGGGACTGCTATGGTGGCATTCTAAGTACAGGCTCTCTTCTTTCTATTAACTTTCATTTTCACAAATTGGGGCCTTTGGCGATGAATGTGGTCTTGCCACAGGGCGCTTTTCCTATTGTCCCTGTGAAGAATGTGAGGTTTCTCTTTAACATCGTGGCTAGTTTCATTAACAATTACAGATGTTTTGTCTGTAACCTCCTTGCCCACAACTTTAAATTTCTCGCTTGTTTTTCCTCACCAAGCTGCATATTTTTCCTATTGTTCTGCTCTCACTGTGGCTCTGAATTAAAAACAATGAGCAGCAGCCCAGCCACAGGCTGACTGCTTTGCTGCCTTGAAATTTCTTCCACCGAACATTCATCCATTGAATTCAGCTTCATGGAAATTCGAAGGACTGGACAGAATGAAGCCAGATTCCTTGTTGGAGGGTAACACAAAAATGGCTTGTAGCCCAATTCCTCATCATCTTTGCTCCTTTCTGAAATATTTTTTTTCTCAGCATTCTAGTTCTCCAAACTCCCGAAAGCCTGGCCCATGGAGCTCAGCTTACAGAGTTCCAGGGATTCTGGAATTTTTTTTAAAAACTTCAAACTCGTCCACATTCCTCCCACAAAGTTTCAAAGGCCTTCAAACCATAGTCAGGTTCATCACGGCAACAACCGAACCAATTTTCTGTGACATACGCTTTTGCTGTCGGCATGGCAAATGGCCTGGCAAAGGTGACGTAAGGCTGGAAGGGTTTCCTTTGGCCCACAGTTTGAAGGTGCCAGTCTGCTATGGCCAGGAAGTAATAATGGTAGTTGCATGGGACAGCCAGTCACCCCACAACCAAGACAAGAACGAGAGAGAGATGAATTTTATTGTCCAGCTCGCTTTTCTCCTTTTTTATTCACTCTGGGATCCCAGCTCGTGGGATGGTACTACTCACATTCAGTTAAACCACCTCTTCCATTAAACCTTTCTGGAAACATGTCATAGACACACCCAGAGGTGTGTTTCCATGGTGATTCTAAATCCAATCAACTTAACAAAAAAGTAATAATCATGAGTACATACTAAAAGTATTACAAAAAAAATTGATACGATGTTTGGAGTGTCCTTCAAAGTAATGTTATAGAAGAGAAAGGAGATAGATATGTGTCGATCTAAAATTGCTAGCCATGTGCTGGTCATTCTTGAACCTAAGTAAGGAATGCATAGAGCTTCATTCCATTAGTTTCTCTGCTCTGAGAACTATTTGAAATATTCCATACTAAAATGATCAAAAGGTAATGCTACCTCTGTTCTTTCCCTTCAAAAATAAGTGTTGGTGATAAGTCCTGTTAGCTCTTCTGGGGAAGAGGAATTGGAATGGTACTTGGCAGTCAGTACACAAGGAGGTCTCAGAAGTATGTGCCAGTGGTGGAGTGTAACAGCAAGGAAAACCAGCTGAGGCTTAGTCTGATGATGAAAAAACAGGGCAGTGGTGGCATATGCCTTTATTTTTATTTTATTTTATTTTTTTCGAGACAGGGTTTCTCTGTGTAGCTTTGCGCCTTTCCTGGAACTCCGCTTTGGAGACCAGGCTGGCCTCGAACTCACAGAGATCCACTTGCCTCTGCCTCCCGAGTGCTGGGATTAAAGGTGTGCGCCACCACCGCCCGGCGGCATATGCCTTTAATCCCAACACCCTGGAGGCAGAGGCAGGTGGATCTCTGTCTGGTCTACAAAGCGAGTTCCAGGATAGTCAAGGCTGCAGAGAAACTTTCTCTCAGAAAAAAAAAAGAAAAAGTAAAAAAAAAAACAAAAAAACCAAGAAGTTGTGCTGGGCCCAAGAGTTCAACAGCAACGAGGCTTGTCCTGTGAGCCAGTTTGGCTTTTTTGAGCAAGTGTTTGATTAATCATGGGTCCTTTACTGTGGAATAGTGTTTCACTCATATAAGAAGCTCACCATACTGCTAGTTGAGGTAGGCCTGTGAAAAGAGCAACCCAGTAATCCTGGCCATTGTGAAGGCCCTAAACCCTATTTGGAAATCAGTATCAGTAGCCTGAAAATACTGTGTGTGCATATTGTGCTCTAGGAAGACGGAAGCAGAAAGGGCCTCTGCTAGCCTCCAGTCAATGAAGACAGGTTCTACAGAGAAAGAGCTGAGGGGTTAAAACATTGAGACCAAGGTAGCGTTTGCCAGAACAAGAGGCAGAAGGAGGAGGTCATTTCAGGAAGAAGGAAATAATGTTTCAGACGGCATGAAACCACAGTGATGTGTTCTGGGAACTACAAATATCTGCACGGCTGGAACATAAAGTCGGGGGTTCTAGAGCTTGTTCCTCAGACTGCAACATACAACCTTATTCTGGGTCTAAAACAAAGGAAAGGCCTTAAGCTCAAAATCCTATTGGCCTTTAAAAAGTCCTTTACTGGGGCAGGGGAGATGGCTCAGCGGTTAAGAGCACTGGTTCTTCCAGAGAACCCAGGTTCAATTCCAAGTACCCACATGTTGGCTTGCAACAGTCTGTAACTCCAGTTTCAGGGATAACCAAGGGCATCGGTGTACAGGCAGATATGCAGGCAAAACACTCATACACATAAAATAAAAATAAATAATTTCCTTTAGTAATGGGAGTGGGAGAAGAGAGTCAACTTCAAAGCTGGAACTCGGGCTGTATTTCAGACCACAGATGCAATCCAAAAGACAAAGAGGAGCAGAGAGGGTTTAAGGTCCGACATAAAACACATGGTCTGAGCAGCAACAACCGATTTCCTTGTAATTATAGACCCTTGTACAAAGAAGGAAGAGAAATGAGTCAATCATAAATCAAAGCGCTAAACTTCATTTCCAGTTCCTTAGTGGTTTGCTTGGTGGAAAATAGATGAACAAAATATGATTTCACGGACAACACAGCTTATTGCCACACAAAGGGAACTTTTGGCCTTTTGCTCACACTATTTAAAACAGGGAGAATAACATGAAAGAACCTCACGGGGAACACACTTAGCAGATGAGGCACAACCACATAGTGTGTGAGTTTTGAAATCCTGATCCGGTTGCTCCATCAGCACAGAAGCAGGCCTCTTCTGAAAGTCCAGTCTAATTAAAGACCTGACGCACCTTTATGTAAGTGGTTCTCAGGAGAAACTGGTTTGACCAATTCAGCAGAGATCTGTGAGGGTACCTGAGGCCCCTCAGAGCTAGAGGATAATGTGAGTGGGTAAGTCAGGCTTGGGTGATGAATTGAAGGTCTGTCACAGCATATTTCTCTGTGTGTGTGTGTGTGTGTGTGTGTGTGTGTGTGTGTGTGTGTGTGTTCAGAGAAATGCCTGACAATGTATAGCTATGCTGTAAGCTCTTAAAGTGTCCAATTCTTAGGTTTAAATGTATTTTGGTATTCAGTAGCTCATATAGGATGGGATATTTTAAATGCATTTTGATATTTGGTAGCTCATATATGATGTATGATGTCACCGCGGCGGGAAGGAGAGATCTCATCTATTGGGGTCTAGTCAGACTTTCATATTCTTCGAAGAAAGGGGAAACACCTTTCAAATTCGGGGAGATGCTCTACCACTGAGCATTGCAAACCTCAGCTCTACCCGCCCCCCACCCCAAGTTTTTACCAAAGAGTTATCATAAATGCACTTAACTACGTTAAGTGTGTTCAAGAATCATTTAATGGCACACAAAAACTACCCACCCACCATGTTATGATAGGACTATTTATCAGCCAGCATTTATTTCCAAACAAGTCCTTTCCGCCCCCCTTTTTCTTTTGATTCATATAGCACCTTCGTCTTCATCCAAATAGAAGCCTACACGCTACACATAAACTAACAGAAAGGGTTGACGCGAACCCTTGAGAGATGAGCACCAAAGAATCAACGAAGTTGGTAACAAAAGGCATCCGGACAACACGAGGGCGGCTTTGTCTTCGTTGTTGTTGTTGTTTTAAGTGGTTTAGATAGCCAGGCCTTGGCCGTGTGCCTTGCGCAGTCAACTCCACCCTCTTGAGAGATTTTACACAACCGCAGTCCCACGCTTGCCTGCCCGAACCACACAAATTTCCCCAGACTTGGGGACTGTAGATGTCCGGTTGCACAAGACACATTGGCATCGGCAAGCTGCAGCACGGCCGCCCACAGCCGCGCCCCCCGCCCCCCCCCCCAGGCACAGACCCTTGCGCCTGCGCACACCTTAGGGCCGCGGGCAGGGCCCCACCCCTTCCGTCTCGCCACGCCCTCCCGCTCCCGCCCCTCCAGGTGCGCGTGCGCCGCGGGCCCGCCCCCGCCGCGATCAGCGGTGTCTCTCGCGAGCGGCGGCCGCCTCCTCAGAGCTGCGGGTCGGCCTGGAGCGAGCAGGGTCGCCCGGCGCTCGCTCGCTCGCTCTCTTCCTCCGCAGCCCGGCCGGGCGGCCATGGCGGCGCGACGACGGCGGCGGCCCACGGCTGGCGTGGGAGCCCGGGACACGCTCACGCTGCTGGCGCTGGCCTTGTGCGCCCCCGGGGTGGGTGGCGGGGCGCTCGAGTGGTACTCGGCCGTGGTGAGCATCGAGTACGTGGACCCGCAGTCGAACATGACGGTGTGGAGCGTGTCCGAGAGCGGCCGCTTCGGCGATAGCTCGCCCCGGGAGGACAGGCAGGGCCTGGTGGGCGTCCCGCGCGCCGAGGGGGACAAGGAGGGCTGCGCGCCCGACACGCGCTTCGTGGCGCCCGGCAGCCTGGGCGCCGCGCCCTGGGTCGCGCTGGTGGCGCGCGGCGGCTGCACCTTCAAGGACAAGGTGCTGGCGGCGGCGCGGAGGAACGCCTCGGCGGTGGTGGTGTACAACCTGGAGCGCCACGGGAACGCCACCGAGCCCATGTCGCACGCGGGTGAGCAGGCCGGGGGGGGGGGTGCAGGGGCGAGCCTGGTGGCTTCCCCGGTGGTGTGGAGAGGAAAGTGCGTGCACACACTGGATGGGAGCTTCTCCTCGGGAGGGTGAGAAAGAAGGCAGGGGAGTAGCGAAGAAACTCCGCAGGAGGAAGCTCCTACCGCTTGCAAAAAGACTCCAGATTCCTAATCACGGGGTCACTTAAGGTCGAGTTACCGTTTCCCAAAGTTGGTTGCGTGGTGAGTGTGTGGGAGTGGAGGGAGACCCTTCCCCATGCGCGCTCCAGGGTCGCATTGCCCATTCACCAACCTAGCGTGATGGCTTGGTGGCTCTCTGGTTTCTTCACTTTTGACCAGGCGTATCTGAATGTTTCAGAACCCTGAATCGGAAAACCTGGTAGCAAGCACGACACCTGCTTGTCTCTGGCGACACACGTAGGGCGATCGCACTTGCTCATTGTATTTGGACAGTTCGGAGTTCAGATGAAATCTTTTTACTGTATTCATTGAAGAAAAGACCTTGCTCTCTTAGTCAGGAGGCCGGTCCTAAACACACCATTCCAGGGACAGCAGGTTGCATGTACTTCAGACAAGGATGAGTTTGCACAATGCCATCCGTGGGACAGAGTTCTCTCCGGGGGGGACCCAGAATTTGATCGTATTTCTGTTGTGCTACTAAGATCACATTAGCTTTAAGGCATCACACAGTTGACTCATTCTGCATTTCCGGTGATTACCGTTTTTGTTTCTGCTGCTACTAAGTCAGACATCCTTTTCCTGTACTGTATTTGTTGTTGTTCTGTTTTGGCATGAATGCAACACAGAATGTATAAAGACAGAAAATGACATTGGATTTGGCCATTTTTTATAGGTTGGGAATGATGGCCATTTGATGGCAAGGAAGTGACCTCCATTTATAGATCAATTTTTTTCCCCCTTTTTTTTCCGAGACAGGGTTTCTCTGTGTAGCTTTGCGCCTTTCCTGGAGCTCACTTGGTAGCCCAGGCTGGCCTCGAACTCACAGAGATCCGCCTGGCTCTGCCTCCCGAGTGCTGGGATTAAAGGCGTGCGCCACCACCGCCCGGCTAGATCAACTCTTTTTCAGGAATGTTGACTCCGGGTTAGCAGAGAAATGGGTTCAGACCGTAGGAGCATGGTAGGGTGGAGGAGGAGGAGGAGGTAAGGAGACTTTGAAATTTCATGAAAGTAATCGGCTCGAATGGAGAAACCCTGAAGAAGTTGGGTCTTTGAGACTATGAAGTTTGTTTGGCTGCAGACAGTGGTGGGTGAGAATGAGTACAGATGTCCCTGTGGTGGTGGTGGTGGTGGGTCAGCTGCAGTTAGTCTAGTGATTACAAATTGGCCTAATTGTCATTGTACACACGGCCTGTTTCCAGAAGACTCAGGAAAGCTCCTAGCATTACAGATGTAGCCCATACGCAGCATTCCCAAGTTCAGTTCTGTCAGTGAAAAGAGGTCTGTGCTGGACCTGATTCCTTGATGGTGGGTGTGTGCATTTTTGGATGCATACACATCTTAATGTCGACTTTTTCTTTCAAATGGCAGACTCACCACCCTACAATTTTCTAACTCTACCCTACTGCATTTTTTGATAATGACATTAGCATCCTCCCAAGCAGACAACACTTGTTCTAACCATGGCTCAGCAACCTTTCTTGTTTATATTGTTGACATATATAATTTATCTGGACTCAGAAAAGCACCTCAGCGATGTTAATTAGAAACATCGGTGGAGGGACACTTCTGTTCTCATTATCTGCCTCCTTTCTAAGCATGATAATAATTCTGATTTTTTTTAAAGGGAGGATTAGCACCTTTTGAAAAATGTATGAAAGTGCACACATTAAAAAATGTGATGCAGCGAGTGACTGACTCTTCCTGAGGGCCCTTTAAGGTAGATCCCTAACTCCACCGTCCAGTAAGGAAACATACTCAAAAGCATTTTAATACAAGTCCAGATTGCTTGGTGACCTATATGATATCTAGCTGCATTCCTGTCTTCCCACATTCTAGGTGCCTTCTGCACAGTTGTGACAACCAGAAATGCCTTGAGTTTTGGCCAGAACTTCAGGGGACAACAATATTATCTAGCATTTTGAACCACTGACCTAAAAGAATATGAATTGTAGTAGTGTAGTTAACAAGGAAGAAAAGCTGGAAACAAATGTAGACCCTTGGGCTGTAGAGACTGCAGAGGTGGAAAGGTTGACTCACAGAATGGAGCCCATGTGGGTACCAGGGATGACAGTGGCAGCAGCACTTTGAGAATAGAGTTAAGAAGATGGGGCTGGGCAGTGGTGGCACACAACTTTAATCCCAGCACTCTGGAGGCAGAGACAAGCAGGTCTCTATGAGTTGGAGGCCAGCCTGATCTATGGAGCGAGTTCCAAGACATCTGGGTCTACACAGAGAAACCCTGTCTCAAAAAACAAACAAAAAGAAGAAGATGGGAGAAGCCAACTTTGACAGACTATATTTGAACTTGAGCGGAATATTTATTGAGCTGTGTACACTTAGGTTGGTTTCCTCTGTTTAGTCAGAATGTAGCTGAAGCCAGGAAAATCCACTGATTCCACTGTTCTTAGTGCTGATGTGTAACAGTGGATTTCTATCAACAGGTAGAGGTGTGCTTCTGAAACTGAATACTGATCATCTTCCTAAGTTGTGGGGAGAATTACTCCCCAGTTCTTCTGAAACCCATTTTTCCTCTCACTGGAATCTGGCTTTAGATAACTTTTAAAATTTAATCATTACGGAAACTGAGGATTTTAAAAGAATCCTCGCCTTAAGATAGATCATACTCTCTCAGAACAGCAGTAAGGACTTAGAGCTGTGCTAATGTTCTGTTTTTAGCAGACTTCAGTTTGCCAGCTGCTTTGGATCAAGTATTGTACTCGGTTGGAGTTGGAAATGCCTAAGATGAATGGCTGCCTATGAAGGGTTTATGGTCTGTCAGTAGTGATAAGCATAACTTTCCAGGCAGAAGAGTCTAAACTTCACTATATGCACAGGTGCTTAGAAAGCCTAAAGGATGCTGAAAGGTGTCGAAATTATCTTGACCAAGATAGGTAAAAATAGATAACAGTCAAATCGTTACGGTCTTGGTGTTGACCTTACTGTAGTTATTGTAGCTTAAGTAACATGCACCTCTAGGTGAAATTTTGGCACAGCCTTTTAAGAACAGCATTTTACATCCTTGAATGTTGTTTGCTAAGTGCGAAACAATTGGCAAAGGGCAGGAAAAAGGGATCGAATTGAAATAAAAGGATTTCAGAGGTAGAGAAGAAATACCCCCACTTAGTCAGCCAATTAATCTGTTTACCTGAATGTTTCTGCAGACATTTAGAAAAAGCTTACAGTGGTGATGCTACATTACAAACTTTAAAGATAGCTCAAGTCTTTTAAGATACCTGAAAATGGCCAGGCGGTCATGGCACAAGCCTTTAATCCCAGCATTTGGGAGGAAGAACCAGGCGGATCTCTGTGAGTTTGAGGTCAGCATGGTCTACAGAGGGAGATCCATGACAGGCACCAAAACTACACAGAGAAACCCTGTCTTGAAAAACCAAAAAAACAAAATTTAACAACAAAAAAGATTCCTAAAAATGGCCACAATATTGTAATGATGGGACCCATTGAGACTTTTAATTAAAATTTCACTGTGATTAGTTCTAAGAACCTAGTCTTGGAAAAAATGAAAAGAAATACCCAACTTTAGAGAAGCTATATATTAAGAGGTATTCATTTTGTACCAGCAGTGCATGTTAAATGGTCTTTATGCATAGTCAGTTATTGATTATCTGTAAAACTGTGCTCTCAACTGATCTACAACTTTAATTTGAATTTAAAATGTATCTTGGTGCTCTAAGGAGCCAGAAGTGGCACCCTAATAGACTCATAGAGGATGGGGCCAACTAGGACAGTTCCCTGGAAAGATTGACTTGATGGGCAGGTTCAGGACATTAGGGAGTTATGTATATGTGTGGTAGGTGGGCTATAGGACTTCCATGTAGCAGGAGTAATGTTGCAAAAGGCTGAAAGGTCTGAAGTGAACTAACATGGAAAAGCTGCAAGAGTTCTCAGTAAGTGTTCAGTAGTAGTTTCAACAAATCCGTTTTCGGGGGAGAGGTAGTGGTGGTGAAGTTTGTGTTGTTTTGTGTTTGTATGTTTACTTGTGATGGGGTCTTGCTAAGTAGCTCATGCCGGTCCTTAACTCATGATCTTCTTATCTTAGTTTCCCAAGTGCTGGGGTTATAGACATGAATTATCATACTGGCCAGCTTTTTTTTATTGGTTTATTTTTATGTATATGAGTGTTTTGTCTGCGTGTATGGAAGTGCACCACATGCGTGGCTGGTGCCTGTGGAGGCCGGATGAGGGCGCTGGAGTTACAGTGGCTTTAAGTCACTGTGGGGGTCCTGGGAATCGCCAGGTCCTCTGCTAAAGAGCAGCAAGTTCTCTTAACCCCTGAGCCATCACTCCAGGTCTCCCCCAACCCCAATATTTTTGACTAAACCAATCATACACAAATATTTATAATTATATAGTGCCCAATTGTGAATTGTGTTGTCCTCCTTCACCCTAGCCAACCATTCAAACATTTCTGTTTCGTATAACAAGACATTCCAGAGTATTTCCTCTACTGTAATTCTCCTTACTAGGTAATTTCAGCTGTAGTCCTGGAAGATAAGCTAGTTTTTCCAATCCATTCATTCATGAAGAAACCTTCCACGGGCCATCCATGGTCCATGCCACAAAAACCTGATAAACTGAACAGGTAGTACTTGTCTAATCTAATGAGGAGCGACCTATGAAGAAATCAGACAAGATGTGTGAAAGGAGGCCTATCTGAGGCTGGAAAGATGGCTCCGTGGTTAAAAGTGAGTATTGCTTTTGCAGAGGCCCCTCATTTCAGTTCCCAAAACCCATGCTAGATGACTCAGTGCCAGTAATTCCAGCTCCAGAGAATCTGGTTCCTTCT